TGGTTATTATTAAAGTAGAGTGAATTAACAGGTGGAATGACACGTGAGTAATATGACCTTGATGTTTGGGGACACAGCATGGTATCGTATGATGTCACTTTGTAAATAATTCAAAATGTTTTGCAATGGTAGACAAGATTTGTAAGCTGCAATTGGTCTCGTGTTGTTTTTTTTGTTTTGTTTCGTTTTTTTAAACATTGGGCTAGTTTTGAAAGGCCATTTGTCTAATTTTGTCACGCAAGCCTTTTAACCCAGAGCTACACTCTCTGGAAGAAGAAAAAAAGTACTAAACTTTTGTACCCTCACTTAATAGAATGTAGTTCTAGAGGAATGTATATTAATTGTACATTTACATTGTTTATTCCACAGAAAATGTGGAAAATGTACTTGTTTCTGAGGATTGGTATTTTATCAGTTAAAAAGTCTACGCTAGTAGCTGTGATGTTTTGTTCAAGTCCCAGAACATCCAGAGAGCAACAGCTGGGTCTTTAAAAAATTGCCAAATGCTCAGTTAGATGCTAGGATTGGACCGCTCTTTACTAAGGCATCTGTCCAAATCTAGATAAACATAGACTAATCTGAGTCTGTCAAAGTTACACTGTTACATTTAAATCGATAGAGAGAAGAAATATGTTAAAAAAAAGATGCATAGAAGTAGTCCCAGCAGATAAACTGACATGAAACACATCTTTATAGACTTCTTAAAACTGAGTCACATGGACTTGAATAGATTTGATTAACAGACCTTAAGATTAATGCTCAAAGTGTGATCTTTACATAAATATAGACTGGTGTGGAGGGCTCCAGGGCTCGAGCACAGGCGCGGAAAGGAGAACTCCCACGGGTACACTCCAGAAACACAAACTCATGCGTTGATTAATATCAGGACCTCCTGAGTGTGTTGTGTTGTGCAGAAACTCGGTTGTGCAGCCTATTTCTTTAAATTCCCACCGAAGAGGGCTACAGCAGTGCAGCTGCTGACATCACGATCCGTGTTGCCTTTTCCTGGGGATATCCGCGCCAAACAGAGAGGCTGGGAATGGGAGGGGAACAGGAAAGCATGCGCACGGAGGAGGGTGGGCCCTGCTTAGGATCCTGACATTTCGGCAGTGGCCCATGTGCATGCAGTCTTATGCTGCAGCTCACTCATATCTTATTTTTGCACTATGCATTAGCATAGCCCTTTGCCATGATCCAAGTCCATAACATGTATGTGCAGTAGGATGTGTGATGCAATGTTGCACTTATAATAATGCGTTCTTGTCATGTCATGTGATCGAGTGTCTCAAGAGTCTCATGAACAAAACTAAATGAGATTATTGTGCTTTAAACATGCCTAATTGGTGATTTAGTGAAAATGGAGCACTACTACTCTCTCTCACTCACTCACTCACTCACTCACACACACACACACACACACACACACACACACACAAACCGTGACTCTCTAGCTCTCTCTCTCCCCCTTCACTGACCTTATGGGCAATAGGAGCCCTTGCTGTTGTGGTCCAAGGGGCAGGAAGCAGCTTGATTCCCACACAAAGGTATCAAACACCCTGGCCGGTACAGACTCACTGGCTCACACACACTCACACACACACACACACGCACACATTAACACAAATGCCAGCCTTGTAAGCATAACACGCAGTACAGTGAACAAATACACACTAAGACAAACAGGACATTCCTACTGTCTGACGCTGTAGGCCGACAGAATTACTGCTCTTCTATACACCAAATGTTTTCATCAATAACATCTGTGTTAAAAGTGTCCTCTTTTCACAACACCTGACATCATCCTTTTACACTGAATAATATCCGGGCAGACAACAATCTAATACATATGATGACCATATCGCAGATTACAGCCATATCATTCCATTCTGTTAAGTACACCGCTTTATGTTTAATGTAGATAACCTGTTTAGTGTTTTCTTTTGCAAGAAGGCTATAGATATTGGCGATAACGTCAGGACGCTTTCCGAACACTCAGCTCAAGCCATTGTGTCATGTAATTGAGTCTTGCTTCATGCTTGTTATCTGTTAAGCTTGACCAGTCATGAGGCATTTGGACTCGGTTAGGGGTTTACAGCAGGGGTCGGTTCCCATGCAAAATCAATAGGTCACAGTCAGGAGCAGGGAGGGTGGGCTGCTGAAACCTTTCACCTCATACATGGCCATAATGCCAAATTTCTCCATTCCTACATCTTCTCATGTGAAGCATGTGAAATCTCAGGCAACATCAGTTGGGAAACTGATCTGTGCTTAGTAGCTTAAAGATGTTTGAGTTGCTGACATTCCTGTAACTGACTGTGTGGAGGTTATCAAACCTCCACACAGTCTCTGGTATCCTTTCCACATGCCAACTTTCCACAGGCAACTGTTTTTGAACTAGTCTACTCTCTCTCACACACTCTCTCTCTCTCTCTCTCTCTCACACACACTCTCTCTCTCTCACTCTGTCTCTCTTTCTCTTGAATTGTGCATACGCCTATGCTGGGAAGAAAAGCTCGACTCTTTCCCACGGTCCTAGAGCACGTGGTTTAAAATTGGATCCCGGCTGACCCACCCTCGCTATTGAAACGTCACTGCAATTCGACCACTGCGATCCTGTCACACCGCCAGAGATTTTTTAAACCATTTGAATGAAGCCTATTGAAATGGGAGGGAAGAGAACATGATAAATTTGAATAAAGCACCATATCTGAAGACAAGTTTAGTCAAGTTGGATAGTCAAGACCTGTTTCAAATTTAGTTTTTTTCCCAGAAAGGATTTTATGTCGAATAGGGTTTCTCATCTCATAACAGATATATATAATATAGTGCACTACCGATAGTTATCATATGAAAAAATAAGCACACCCCATGGAAATGGTTGGCTTTTTTTGACATATTTGGACAAGCACACATTTGATCATCTTTGAAACAGTGCCTATTAATAAAGTTGATATACTTGAACAAAACCACAAGGGAAAATAGCTTTTTTTTAATCGTTTATTCAACAGAAATATCAATAGATGTTCGTCTTTGGAAAAAGTAAGTGCACCCTTGGCCTCGGAAGCTAGTATTGCCCCCTTTAGAAGAAATAACTTTTTCTAGGCATTTTGCATAATTGTCCACCAGAGTTGCTTAAATGTTTGACCACCCTTCTCTGCAATATTCTTTCAGTTGCAAGACGCTTTAGGGTTTTCTTGCATGTAATTCTGCCACAACAATTCAATAGGATTCAAATACAGGCTTTGACTAGGCCATTCCACAACCTACCATTTCTTATTTTTGAGCCAATCCTTGTTGGATGTGCTAGTTTTCCACAAGGATTTCACTGTTAGGCACTGTTTCAAAGATGATCAAATGTTTCCTTCTCCAAATAAAAAAAAAATATATATATATATAAAATTTCCATGGGGTGTACTTATTTTTTCACATGACTGCATATGCAAAGTACTCAGGTCCTACATTTGTTTTTCCTTAGTGCAAAACTAAGAAGATCTAGGTATATTTGGGCACACAAATACATTTTCTCGTTAATTAAACCATTGTGTACTTTTGTTTAACAGCACATAAATTTGTGATCATTAATTAAGCAATTGCCTGTCAGGCCTCTTTAGGTCTTCCAGTACCCTATTTAGAAAGTTGTGCCAAATCATGGCTGCAAGTCAATACAAGCCCAGTATACAGTAGTCTAGTTCCCATGGGCCTTTTGGATTCTGTGTCACTTTATAAGCACTCCAACTGGTGCCAACAAAAACTGGTGAGCAAGTAGCTTTCCCACTTGCGACCACAAATTAAACAAATGGACTGTTGATCAACAAATGTTATACGACTGCACTCTTTTGAGAGATCGTGGATATTCGTTTTAAAAAGAGACTATTACTTTGTCCTTGTTTGTTCTATTCTTGAAACCATGCATGTAAAAAGGGGAAGTGTGGATTTCAGCATAAATAAAAGTGGAACCTGTACAGGCTCAACTGCACATGCGATGGAGCAATACCTGCAACAGATTTAACACATAACTCATTGGGTATTGAGAAACTAAGACCTGCCTACCGTGGGAAAATTCAGTGCATTACTACTTTTACCCAGATTTTCACAGAATATGAACAGCATTGTCAGTTTGTTTATTTTTAGGATTATCCCTTATAGGGGGAAATGATTTCACGTGGGAACTTATGTGTGCTTTCTTTTTTTTTAATACACACTATTAGAAAAACCCTTAAAGGTTCATCAACTTGTTACTCTGGGAGCACCCTTAAATGTTCTACATGTCCTACTGAATGTTTCCCTAACCCAGTTCCAATTGTTAATCTCCCAAGGAACTCTCAAAGAACTGTGAAGGTGATGTGTTTTCATATAGTCTATTTCATATTATAGTGTGTGAAAATAATTTTATATAATTTCATGTAGGACAGCACTGTGGTGCAGTCGATAGCACTGCCACCTCCCAGCTTCAGGGTCCATGGTTTAATCCTGAGCTCAAGTTGCTGTCTGTGTAGAGTTTTGCATGTTCTCCATGTGTCTGCATTTGTTTCATCCAGGTCCTTCTGTTTGCTCCAACCTGTCAAAAAAGTGTGTGTGTGTGTGTGTGTGTGTGTGCAAGGTGCTCTGCAATGGACTGGTGTCCCATCCATGCTGAATTTCCAGGATAGGTTCCGGATCCAGGATAAGGCGGTTACTGAAGATGAATTAATTAAAGAATCTTTATATGCAAACATTCATTTGAAATAACATTTAAAATCGCATTAAAAGTTTTTCAAATATATATTAAGTCCAAAATATAATCCATCCATCCTCTATACTGCTTATGCTTTTCAGGGTCACAGGAGCATCAGTCACACCCTGGACAGGGTGCCAATCCAGCGCAGAGCACAATCACATACACGTTTCACACACCCATTCATACACTACAGACACTTCAGACACACCAATCAGCCTACCATATATGTCTTTGGACTGGGGGAGGAAACCCCCGCAGCACGGGGAGAACATACAAGCTCCGCACACACGTTTGGGAATCGAACCCCCCGACCCTGAAGGTGTGAGACGAACGTGCTAACCACTACGCCACCGTGCACCCACAAAATATAATTTCATACTAAATGTCAAATTTCATGATTACATCTAAAACTGCATATTGCAGTATATGTAGGACACTGTACATGCAGTATACTACCATTTTAATGAATTTTCGGTAACTGCTTTATCCTGGTCAGGGTCATGGCTCTCTATGTCGGAATAGCTACACTCTCAGGAAAGGGGTACTACATTCCGTCTTTCCATTTCATTAGGGTGGGTACATCTTTTGTACCTTCAGTATGTATCTTTAACCTGGGAGGATCCATATATCTTTAAAGTGTTACTTTTAAAGCTAATTGGGGGTTTAAAAAAAAGAGTGGTTCTTAGGGTCACATTATGTCCTTTAAATCTGTTCTACATTCAGAGTACCATATCAAAGATACACACTAAAGGTAGTAACAGGAAAAGCACACTTTAGTACTTTGTATCTGAGAGTCTAGTCTAGGGTGAGGTGTGATTTTAGGAGTAGGTTCCATTCAGTTTGCCTTCTGTTACCACACGCAAACATGCTCTCTTCTCTTTCTCTACTTTCTAAACACGCTAAATGCAAAAGCAGTTAAACCCGCCTTACATTAGTCTGTCGTCCTATTTAGTACTCTTGCTACTGCTTAGTACAGTAGTATGCAGGACGCATTCATGTTCTTTGTGCGCCGTTGCATACTCCATTAGGAGGCTAGTATGCGGTTTGGGATGTGAGCCAATGGCCTCCCGTGGCCCCCGCACAGCCTGAGAAATGAGGCCAAGCCCCGCCCTAACAGGCCGACTATAGGAGTGTCCATTGTTATTGAAATGAGCTGAACAGAGGGAGTGGAGGAAGATCAGGCGAAGCTGAGGAGCTACATAGTGCACACACAGGAGCAGGCGCAGGCGCAGGAGCCGGAGCAGGGTGGCCGCGGGGTAATCTTCTCACCACGCACACAGAGTTAGGGTAATCCCAACACTTCGGGGGTAAGAGCCTAAGTCTTTGGTGTTTTTTTATTTATTGTTCGAATAATATCAATCTTGAATGATGTGTGGTGTAATTACATGCTTGCTTTCTAAACCAATGTATCTGGAACAGATCGGACGAGATCGGACTGCTGGACTCCGCTATGGGCTGCTGAAGTGGCCGATGCTCGCTGGATAGTCTGATGTAACACGTGAATTGTAGGCGAGGAACACGTTTCTAAACGATTTGCGTCTCTTTTCTGAAAACCTATCCTGTAAAAGAAAAATAATAGTAATTATAATAACTTTGGCGTATTCCTACTGAGTAAGTTGCAGGGACATTACGGATTATATTTTCATCCAAACAAACAACAAAAAGTGAAGGCAGACCAAGAACAAGAGGCGAGAGCGCGCAAGGAAGGCAACTGGTTCCGGTCCGTTTCCGGTCTGTTTCCGGTGAGGTTTACCTGCTGAGAGCATGAGCCAGGCGGACGTGAGCTGCTCGGCGCGTCAGCGCGTCTTCCAGGAAGCCCTGCGCAAAGGCAACACGGCGGAGCTGCACTCTCTGCTGCGCGGCATGACCAACTGCGAGTTCAACGTCAACTCGTTCGGGCCCGAGGGTCAGACAGCGCTGCACCAGTCCGTCATCGACGGTAACCTCGAGCTCGTCAAGTTGCTTGTGAAGTTCGGCGCCGATGTGCGTTTGGCCAACCGGGACGGCTGGAGCGCGCTGCACATGGCGGCTTTCGGCGGCCACCAGGACATCGCACTCTACCTCATCACGAGGGCCAAGTACTCATCCGGAGCGCTCTGAGAACAGCAAGCAGAAGCAGAGACAAGCTGGACATTAAAGCAGGTTTCCCTTCAACCTGGTCCTGGAGTCGAGGCGCACGATATATCGCTTGGTCATTGTTATTGCGATAATAGCGTTTGCAATACTTGTGTAATAATCTGGCCAGATTGGGTTGCCCATTTATAGACCTTTTTATTTCTGCAAAAATCCCCTCTTGCAGAATATCAAACCATGGTGATTTAGGGATGAGAATTATGAATAATCAACCAGTTATGACAGATCAATGAACGATCAATCAGGTGGTTTTCATCTGACCATGACATAGAGTAGCATTAAAAATGACCCAATCTGCAGCATTCAAATGAATCCTTTCAAAAAAAATCACACAATTCCTAATGTGCTGTGTCCACCCAAAGAAGATTCTCCAACAAACATAAAACCGTGGGTTTTTTTTGTTTTGTTTTTTTTAAAGATGCACTGCAATCACAAAATGTAACAATACGTGGTGTGTGTGTACATATATTTTTAATATCATGCAGCCCTACCCTGCACATTTTTGTGTTCTCCCTGCTCTGCTGCGCTCATTTTAACCTCATTAGGGCTTTTTCAATTGCTGGTGAGTCGGGTGTAGATAAACCCCAAAATGTGCGACTCCAGGACCAGGATCATGAAACGCTGCCTTAAGCCTATCGCATTCGACCACTTTTTGTGCCAAAGTCAAAGACTGATTATTGGTGATTATAGTGTGGAATGGATTCCAGTCCAAAATGCAGATGGTGTTGGGTTGGTACAATGTCAAAGATGTGGTTTGTGAACAATGAATACGGTTTATATTATACATTTAATCAGTGCATGATCATAGATTACCTTCTGAATATATTCTACTCACAGATTGCTGACACTGAGATACAATGAGATAGCTGGATTGATATATACATGTTAAACAGGTTCTTTGCTTTTTTTTTCTTGCTTTTTTTTCTTCTTTTTTTAATGGCAGGAATGGTTATTAGCTGATGTGATGCATATATGGTTATGACTTTGTCAGGAATCTTACCTCAAAATTGGTGTGGAGACGTTCACACGTTAAAAGATTCAGGACCTCCAGCGAAATATGCATTTGTTCCATGGCTTTTAAAGAGCAATTGCTGTACATGGAAGCCTCATCTTGTTAGAAACTGGAAATCTATAGTGTTTATGAACGTTTTTTCCCCCTAACTTGAACACAATGTAAACGCGATTATATCAGAATCTAAATTCACACCAACAGGATTTAGGCACAAGCTACTTAATTATTAAATGTGGGTGTTTTCAGAGCCAAGCCTGTCACCATTATTATTTTAAGCTATAGCCATTTTAAATGTTGGGCTGCTTACTCAACATAACTTATTCGTTACAACCCCTCAACAGATTCACGGAAACATGTTGTATTATGCATGTCTATACAATGCACTGCATATTGAAGTACATAGGCCTGTTTTTTTTGTTTTGTTTATTTTTTTGCCCAGTTTCATTACTAATGCTGGAAAACTGTTCTAAGTTTAGAGGTTTGTGAGAAAACACTGATGAAGTATCATTCAAAGCCAGTATAGAAATATGCATCATTTATACTTGAGAATGTTTGAAACTATTGCACTGATGGCTGATTTTATGAACAATTGGTTTCACAACCAACTTTGAAAGATACTATTTTTCTAAATGGAAAAAAAAATCATATTGTATGGAAGCTCCATGGTAGGTTAGACTTCTCTCACTTTTGGCAAAGACATTGAAATGTCTGTAGATGTTGATTTTAGAACGTTGTAAAGTGCTTTACTTGGTGTTCCTCCTTGCACAATATCAAACACTTGTCACAGAAACGTGACAATGTTTTAATATCTGAGCAATTTCAACACTCAATGTTATGCTGATTTTCTTTTCATGGAAGAACATTCAGGTAAAGTGTTCAGTAATTCTTGGAGCACTTCTTCACAGAAGTCCCGTCCTCCTCTTTTTAAGGGGGGCGTTACATGGTAAAATCGGTGTAGCGCAATGTTACACAATGCACAAGTCTTTACTTGATAATGCCATAACATTTATGACATGAGAGTAAAAAAATACCATCCTTGGTTGAGATAAATGTCAAATGACTGTGATTTTATTGGACCAACTTTTTGGAATTCTTTTCTACAAAGAGAAGTTCATAAAAAGAGACCAAACCACTGATCTCTTGTTATGCTTTTGTGAATTATGTTGTTGTTTTATATCTGTCTAGAAGGTTTGTTCTTAATGTTTAAAATGGTGTAAGTGGTCATATTTTGAAAGATATTACATGTTGTATTTGTATCTTTGTACAAAAGCCTTTTTAAATATTAAATTCTGCTTTTTTTAAGAAAAAAAGTGTCATGTTGTCCACTGAGTGTCTGAGGATTTGTAGCCTAAACTAGCTAATAGATATTTACATTATCATGTTAGCCATTTAATGGGTTTAGGTAACCTTGATTTGTTCAGTTTAGCATGTTCAGCTTACTAGCTTGATTGCAATTTTGGCTCAGCAGTATACAGTCTACAATCTGGTATGAGTCCCTACAGGGTTTTGCGACTGCAGAAGTTAATGCAAAATCAAGGAAATGCCACATTATTCAGAGGAGCATGCAATTTTTCCAAAATCACTGCAGATTTTCCGCAGATTTTGGCGAAGACGTATCCTGACTTCATCACAACGATCACATTCAGCCAAAGCTCTCTTCGATTCATTTGTCGTAAGTAAAAACTAAAAGATCTCATTTACCAACAAACATCAGTGTTAAAGACCATGCAAAACAATTTTGTGCAAATGTAATTTCACCAATTCAAGTAGTTCTCTGAAGGGAAAAAAAGCACAAAAGCTCAGCAAATTGCATCACAAATTTTGTAAAAAGCCGTATCAAAATCATGCATTGCTGTGAAATCCTGTATGGTATACTGCTGGTATACATAGCACGAGTGTGTGTAATGTTCTGTAAATTAGCTGTTTCCCTGCACACAAGACAGTTCATGCAACTGAGTACAACAGTAAGGAATTCTGAACTAGTTATACTGATATCTTCATGCTATACCAGTATAGACAATGGAAAAAAAAATTATTTTTGTGCCATACATCCCATTTAAATTTAGTCATATAGCAGACACTCGTATTCAGCACCACAACATTAAGTTCAGGAAAACCCAGTATTGATATTAAAGACAATGAATAACATAAGGGTCCATTTCTAGCCTAGGAACATAAATAATTACAGAAAAATATTTCAAGTGGTGAGGTT